GTGTTGCAAAAGTAGATCTCGATGCAGGGTGGTCAAGTGAGGAAGACAGAGCTAGCGCGGGAGCCATGGCGGCGTCGACTGTAAGCTGGCGGTAGTGCTCTATCGGAGGACGCCCAGGCATCCGCGCTGGCGTACGCGTGGCCCTAGAGTGGGTCATCATCATTGCGCTCCTTATCAACGACTGCTCACCTACGCCATCACCGTCGTGTGGGGACCATCACGGCGTGGTGATGCGGGCGCGGTGGACGGGCTCTTGTATTACGCGGGCGCGGCGAACGCACGGAGGATGGGACGGGGTGCGGCAAGTGTGTCTGGACACGGACCTAAGGCCAGACATCCGGACGCTAGCCTTATCCAATTCACAAAGTTTCCGTGTACCAAACGCTCCCTAGGTCGTGGTATAGGGGAAATTGCTAGACGTTTTCGTGGGCGACTATGCATGTTGGCTTGTAACGGCATTATTCTTCTATGTGCAGCGAATATTTTGCTTCATCGTGCAAAGTACTGTACTATCTTAGTTCACAATCACAGGTTGTACAGGTAGTTTATTTTATTGTTCTTTTCTTGGAAACTAATTAAAGGTCAAGTTTTCTTGATACTTGCACGCTACATATAGGTGATTTCTTTTTTCTTCCAAAAAAAACTCACACACACAAATACTCATAGATCTATTACACGCATATATAAACACAACTTACTTCCATGAGCAATTTTTATTGAGATTGACACCGTTACTACAGGCCTCCGGCATTGTTTGTTGAACCTAATCAATTTACTACTCTCTCTATTCTTAATTATAAGATGTTTTCATTTTTTAGATACATTACTTTTACTATACTACATCTGGACATTGTGCTAAGTGCATATAGTAATTAAAAACTATAATGAAATAGTCATAACGTCTTTTAATTTGGAACGGAGGGGTACTCACCGGTTGTGACCGAAATCACGTATCCATACATGTATATACTAGCACAACACGCTATCCATCTTCGTCCATCTCGGAGAAAAAAAAAACAGTGCGAAACACTAGTAGAGGTGGATACAAAGGTGGCCGTGCTCGATTCAGGAAAAAGAATAGCTGCACACTCGCATGCACGCGTTGTTGTCGGGTTAGGTCATGGATGCAGGATGCGTAGTGACCTCTTTATCAGATTATATATATTGTTATTAAATTGCTAACCAATTCATCCACTCAAGTAGCACTAACCCGGCATTAGCCCCGCGTGTCATCACACCTGCGGCCTCGTTCGTGAAAAGAGAATTGGTGAGAAATCTGTGCGAGGGCAACTGGCGACTGCAGTGAGTGGCGACAGCATCAAATGGGTAGGCTGCAACTAACCACCAAAAGAGCACGAACACATCACCTGAGACCCCACGTTCGGGGCACCCTGTCGCAGCTGCTTTCGAGTTTGGGCACACCTCTTTGCTTTCATTCCTTCATTCACCGTTGTGCTCCAATCCTGAAAACTAGTTTGTTTGTTTGTTTTTCTAGTATATTATTGTACGCCTATAGAGTAATGCATTAGGTGTCTCTGCCAAGAGGACAAGCGAAATAAACCCACACAAATCGCCGCCGAATGTTTGTTTTGGAGCACGGACGGACCGGGGAGACCACATGTGCACGAGAAGTAGCTAGGGTCGCAGGAGTGGTTAGCACGGTGACATCGAACTGATGCCACGTGGTAATGGGGGCGGAGATGGTAACACGAATGGGTCTGGTTGTATTTTGATCGAAAAATAAATCAAAACAAATGCAGCGTGGATTGATCCAGTCATCCAGAGCCCAGCTGTCCAAACCTGACAAATGCTGAAATTCATGTTCACGTGGGGTGGTGATTCATGAGTGGGCTGAGCCGCCAGGCCAGCCACCACAGCCAGGCAACGAACAGCCCCAATGGGGGCGCGATTAGGATGGATAGGATTTTCTTTACAGAAGCTGAAATGCAGCGTGGCCGTTGATCCAGTCATCCAGAGCCCAGCTGTCCAGACCTGACAGATCAGACGGCAACGCGTCCTGTCCACCTGTGGGGTGGGGCCCCTTCCACAAGTGGGCAGAGCCGCAGAGGCAAGTCACAACTAGGCAACTAGCTATGGGCGTGCACCTGCCCTCAAAATTAGGCAACATTCATTAGGATTGAGTTGGAAATTGAAATCACAGGTGCAGCCAAGGAATTAGTAAAAAGCATTTTAGATTGAGATTGAAATAGGAATTAAATCTATAAGGCATAAACTATTTTCGTTTGTAGCATTGATAATTATTGTCCAATGCAGCCTAATTAGGCTCAAAAGATTAAATCAGATAAATTTACAATCAAGTCTGTGTAAGGGTAGTTATTTTTTATCTACATTTAATACTTGTGCATGTGAACCAAAGATTTGCTATGATGGAGAGAAGAGTTTGAAAAAACTTACAATCTAAACGAGGGACCTAAATCAGTATATTATATGTAAAAAACAAGCTCGAAGGCAGAGTGGTTTTTTTTCCTGTAACCTGAAAGCAGCAACAATGCTTCTATGGAAATGGCACTCCCAACGCATGAATCATCGTAGTTTCTATAGACATTAATTATATTATCACTTAAGCGTTTGCTGATGTGGTAAAATAGTTATTGAAGAGAGAAAGCACAAATCATAGAAACCGGGTCTAAGTTAGAAACCATGTCTACACGAGAACCAAGACAGGAAGGGATGTGATTGGTAGAGAATGGATGTGATTAGTTAAAAAATTGTTCCATAAAACCTATCCACTGAGACCATGATTTCTATATCCAGTGTCTATAGAAATTAAGAGTGATAGAAACTATATGTAGTTTTTAGCATTGGGACTGCCCCATCTTGTCTTGTGCAGCTCTCATTCTATCCTAGGCAGATAAACGTTCAGGTCAAGTCTTAAAAGGGTAGTAACGAGTGTGTGAGTGAACATGATGGTTGTAGCTCTGGAACCATGATTTTTGCAATGGGAGTGAACATGATGTTTGCAATGATGCAACCTCTGAAAAGAGGGATACATGCATACAAATGGATAGGGCACACCCAGAATGACATGTCCGCTCACCTGATGGCTTATGAAAGACAGGACATATGCTGCAAAAATAAAAGAGAATTTACCAAAAAATTTCTTCTCCACGTCTCAGCAGTGCATGCCACTGTTAGGCAGAAAGGCCCCAGGGCCTATATCATATGTAACTCAACTAGTCCCTCTCATTAGTGCTGTGTGCATCACCGTAACACTTAACCTGAAAGCGGCAACAATGCTTCTATGGAAATGGCAGATTAGGCAAGCAATGCACAGGTCAAGTCCGATAAGGATCAAGTAGCATTCATGAATCCATCATCTATCAACTAATACATACATTAAAAGTGGACAAGCATAGAGAAAACAGTGGAAGTCAAAGCATGTGAAGCAAAGTGCAATGGATGGGGCACTGGGCAGCAATGTGCTACAGTCCCCAGACGCCCACAAGACCAGACCAAATGGACAGGGTACGCCCAGAATGACATACCTCATGGCTCATGAAAGACAGGACATATACGACAAAAATAAAAGGGAATTATCAAAAAATTCTTCTCCAAGTCTCAGCACTGCATGCCACTGTCAAGTAGGAAGGCTCCCAGCTTTCTCCTTTCTTTTCCGAAGAAAGCACCTTTCTGTTACATCCTGTTCAGGACCATCCGGACTCCGGAGCGCCTTTTAATGGACACTTGCTATTGACTGGGACATGAATCTTCATCTTCTTCTACATTCAAAGGCCGGCCCCACAGTCTAGTCTGAAAAGGATCCAAATAGCATTCATGAACCCATCATCTACCAACTAATACAGATATTAAAAGTGAACAAGCATAGGGAAAAACAGTGGAAGTCAAAGCATGGGAAGCAAAGTGCAATGGATGGGGCGCTGGGTAGCAATGTGCTACCACTCCCCAGACGCCCATAGGGCCAGACCAAATGGATAGGGCACGCCCAAAATGACATGTCCTGTTCACCTGATGGCTCATGAAAGACAGGACATATGCTGCAAAAATAAAAGAGAATTTACCAAAAAAATTCTCCACGTCTCAGCAGTGCATGCCACTGTTAGACAGGAAGGCCCCTAGCTTTCTCTTTTTCTTTTTCAGAAGAAAGCACCATTGTGTTACATCCTGTTCTGGACCATCCGAACTCCGGAGCACCTTTTAATGGACACATGCTATTGACAGGGACATGAATCTTATCTTTATCTTCTTCTACATTTAAAGGCTGGCCCCAAAGTCAAGTCCGATAAGGATCCAAGTAGCATTTATGAACCCATCATCTACCAACAATGCAGATAGTAAAAGTGAACAAGCATAGGGAAAAACAGTGGAAGTCAAAGCATGGGAAGCAAAGTGCAATGGATGGGGCACTTAGCAGCAATGCACTACGAGTCCCTAGACGCACATAGGACCAGGCCAAATGGATAGGGCACGCCCAGAATGTCATGTCCCGCTCACGTGATGGCTCACGAAAGACATGACATATGCTGCAAAAATAAAAGAGAATTTATCAAAATTTTTCTTCTTCATGTCTCAGCAGTGCATGCCACTGTCAGACAGGAAGGCTCCAACTTTCTCCTTTTCTTTTCCTGAAGAAAGCACCGTTATATTACATCCTGTTCTGGAGCATCCAGGAGCAAGTCTTTTAATAGACACCTGCTATTGATCGGGACATGTCTTCATCTTCTTCTACATTCAAAGGCCGGCCCCACAGGCATCAAATTGCCATTACAGACATTGTATTGCCAACAAGCAAAGATGACTCGTTGTTTAGTTGCCAGCAAACAAAATACGGCTTTTTAATAAACACAACATTTTATCGGACAAAAAATGGTCCCTGTATACATGTACGTAGCATACACTCTGCTCGTCACCATTCCAAGCATCCACACCATCAGACATATACAGAGGCATATGGTCATATGAGCAACATACAAGCTTTGTTTGAAGGAATCCATCGTCTGGAAACCAGGACACAAGCATTTTCAAACTTCCACGGACTGGAGCCAACCATTCAGGCCCATCTCCTTCCTCGTCTTGCCGATGAAAAGATCCCCGGATTTGATCTTGCCTGGCAAGCACCCGCTGAGCGTCAGCAAGGGAATTTGAGTCAGCCCTTCCTTCCTTCCAAGAGAGACGAGTGCCAGCAGGTAACCGATGCTGTAAGTTGCCAGTTTGCTGTTGGGCAAACCCTTGATCAGTAACTTCAGGTTCTTCGCCACTAGCAGGGCGTGCTTGTGGGCGTTGTACCCATGTTTGATTTCCTGAAAATTGATGGATATTAGTGCCAACAACTTCTGTGTTTTTGCGATAACATCGCTAGTTCCAACATTAAAGATCGATGATGATCTATGGGGATCCCTTCTATTTCAACCAAGGATGCTCTATGGACAGTATAAAAATTTAAGAAACATGAATTGTGATGATCAGTAATCAGTATACACTAGACAGACAAATCTTTATCCAGAGCATCATAATTAAGGATAAGGAACACCTTTATAGTTCGGTAGTGAGAACTGTCATATCATCCAACTGCCAAGAATTAGGTTACAACTGCGAGCGGGATGGAAGAATTAAGACTATGCACTTTGTTGTGGTTACTTTGTTGTTGCAGATTAATCATTTAGCATCAAATTATTATGTAACTGCCAAGATCCCGGCTCGCGAGGGAAGGTGAAATTGAGACGTGCAGGAAGGGCATGGGTGCAACTAGGAGAGCAGGTAAAACGCATGCGAGGGCGCACCAAACATATCAGTGGTCTCCAGATGGCCGAGCTGTAAACCAATCACCCCTTAAAGTATTTAACTGCCAAGATGACGGAGTGTCAATGATTGTCATCAATGGTTCCGCATTACATCAGTGTCAATGTGTCATGATGGTTCAGTACATCAGTGGGTGTTAATGGGACAATGCCAAAATGGCAGAAGGTTTTAGGAGTAACCATAAATGAAGCGTGTCATCTGCAAAACAACGGAAGCCTATATATCTGTAAACAAAGACATGCATTAATAGAGAATACTGATTCTTTGCAAGGTTTTGGTAGAATCTCATTTACGTGAGCCAATAGTTATTATTGCGAATTTTCAATTTGTTCTGCTAGGAAAACTGAGAGTAATCAGCCTACATAGACATGCACTCATTAACAGTTCAGTCTGCACAAATTTGGGCAGTACTTCAGTTTAGATCAAGTGGTTGCTATTCTCTACAAATTTAAGTCACTATGGTTGGGACAAGGAGAAAACCAACCTGAAAAAACTAACAGAGTAAAAAACAAAAGGAAAATCACAAGTTGGTAGTGAAAACTTACAGGAATATCTGTGATGTCACCAATCGTGAAAATGTTATTATAACCTTTCACTCTTAAATCCTTTTCCACCATTACTCTCCCCTTGCTATCCAAAGATTCCTTTAGGATGGTATCATGTATCCACGACAAACTCAGCGGTTTTCCAATACACACAAAGTGGCAATCAACTATTACTGTTTCTCCGCCTGATGTCCTGTACACCTTCTCTGTGTCTGATAATGAGCCCAAGTCAACCGATTGCTGAAGAAGCACGTCTACTTTCTTTGAAGTCAGCCAATCAAGGCACTTCTTTGAAGCCTTTTCTCCCATGAATTCGAGTAGACGCGGTCCTCTATGGATAAGGGTCACCTTCTTCCCCAGGTAGTCTACCACAATCTCCGCAGCTAGTTCAACACCAGTTGGACCACCCCCAATTATCAGCACAGATTCTGATGACTCTATCTTCTCATTATCTGTAACAAGCATAAACAAAACAAATTATAAGCATGACAGCGAAGGTCACAAAAGCGTAACTATTTTTTTTTCATTATGTGGTTTGACTTGGAGAAGTCTTATGATAAAATAGCAATGAATGTTATGTGGTGGGCTTTGGACAAACATAAAGTCCCAACGAAGTACGTCGGGCTCATTAAGGACATGTACAACGATGTTGTGACTAGTGTTTGAACAAGTGATGGAGACACGGATGACTTCCCGATTAGGATAGGACTACATCAAGGGCCAGCTTTGAACCCTTATCTGTTTGCCTTAGTAATGGATGGGGTCACAAGGGACATACAAGGGGACATCCCTTGGTGTATGCTTTTCGCGGACGATGTAGTGCTAGTTGATGAAAGCCGGACATGAGTGAATCAGAAACTGGAGTTATGGCGAGAGACTTTGGAGTCCAAAGGTTTTAGACTCAGTAGAACTAAAACTGAGTATATGAGATGTGACTTCGGCACTACTACTCGGGATGAGAAAGATATTAGTTTGGAAGGTCAAGTAGTGCCTAGAAAGGATACCTTTCGATATTTAGGATCAATACTACAAAGAGACGGGGATATTGATGAAGATGTTAGCCATAGAATCAAAATAGGGTGGATGAAGTGGCGCCAAGCATTTGGTGTCTTATGTGACAAAAGGGTATCACAGAAGCTAAAAGGCAAGTTTTATAGGCCGGCGATTAGACCTGCTATGTTCTATGGTGCAGAATGTTGGCCTACGAAAAGACGACATGTTCAACAGATAAGTGTCGTGGAAATGCGTATGTTATGTTGGATTTACGGTCATACAAGAAGGGATCGAGTTTGAAACGATGATATACGTGATAGATTAGGGGTAGCACCAATTGAAGAAAAGCTTGTCCAACATTGGTTGAGATGGTTTGGACATGTCCAACGGAGACCTCTAGAAGTACCGGTGCATAGTAGAATCCTAAGCCAGGATAGTAACATGAAGAGAGGCAGAGGAAGACCGAAATTGACTTGGGTAGAGGCAATAAAAAGAGACTTAAAAGGATGAAATATATCCAAAGACTTAGCCTTAGATAAGAGTGCTTGGAAAACAGCTATTTACGTGTCTGAACCTTGATTGCTTCTGCTAGGTTTCAACTCTAGCTTACCTTAATTTATTTGGGACTTAAAGGCTTTGTTGTTGTTGTTGTTGTTGTTGTTGTATTATGTGGTTTGACTGCAGTTATCTCTCTGAAATTCCTTTATCCTCTCAACTCTGCTGGCAGGAGAAGTCAAAGCATGGCCAGTCGCTATGACGAGATAATCATATGGAAGAGACTGGCCATCAGCAGTCAGGACAGCGTGTTCGGTGATATTGACCGCAGAAAATCTTTGTGATAGATCAATGATCTCTCAGCAAAAGATGGTTCGACCATGGAGCGCAGCTCAGCGTAGGGGATCTCCAGGTACTCTTTCCTGTCATTAGAAAGGGGGCAGCATGTATGAAGGAACGTTCCAATTATGATTTAGTGTGAACCAGGTGATGTTACTTTACATTCAGCATCAGGTATTTAAGCTAAGCTGTCACCAGCAAAGAATAGATAGACAATTTTCAGAAATTCCAGAGTGCTTCTTAGCAGCTAGCAGCTAATTATAATTCAGAAGTTGAAATTCGTCTCTAGACAAGAAAACTCAAGATCATCCCCACTTCCCCCGGATTCAGTAGATCCGGCCAGATCTCTAGGGCCGCAAGGATCCGGTACCGGCAGGGGACCGGGCTACTGAATCACACACCTGGGCCGTGGAAGCACGCACACGTGGGCGATTTGGGCCTAGGGCCACGGCCCTAGGCGTGGCCCAAAAATCCTGAGTATGCCCTCTAGTTTTTTTTTTGGCCCAAGTCGATCAGGCTCTATGCGTGGCCCAGGTAAACACAGCCTCCCGTACCTGAGGCCGCGACTCATGACACCTGCAACGTTCGAACTGGCCCGGCCGCCCGACCTGATTTTTCTGAGTGCATGAAGATGTAGAGGACACAGATGGCGAGCGAGAGCAAGACGAAACACAGACCCAGGCACCAAGGCCCGGGTTTGTTGTGGCGTGGTGGTGGGCTAGCTGTGGCGCGCCGTGCATGGCCTGGCGCTGGGCGCTGCTGGCTCCATCCACTCCACACGCACGAGAAAGCTAGTCTACGGTAGGAGTTGATCCCAGTGATTAAAGCTAGCTTTATTGCGCTGTCCGTCCTTGCCTTGAAACCCTAGGGTCGACTGCTTGCTGCCGGCCAAATTGACGAGCGTATCAGCCAAATCAACCGGCGGGCGCATTGCCCACGGCTGCTCATGCCCCCTACGCGGCTGCTAGAGTGGTTGGGCGCCGCCGGTAGGCCATGGTCCACGGCGGCCCCTGCCCGACTGTGTTTGTTTGTATACGCACAGGCACGGCAGCCAGTCCAAGAAAGCAAGAAAAGCAAGCAAGCAGCCGGTCGGCTCGGGATTTCCGCGAACGGGTGGCCGGCGCAGGAGCGGAGCGGGCGAGGAAAGGAAGAGGTGCTTACGGGTCGAGGAGGACGACGTCGGCATGGCCCTGCATGGTCTTGGCGAACAGGGAGCCTGCGGGGCCGCCGCCAACCACCACCACCCTCGCCTTCTCCCCCGCCCCCGCCCCCGCCATCGCTGGAGCCGGACGCTCTCCACCTCGCGCGCGCCGCACCCAGCTGACAAGCTCCCCCTCCCGCCCAGCTCACGCGGCGTTATTAACGAAGCTCGCGATCGCGAGGGCAAAAGTGGCGGCTTTACAGGAATCGGGTGCCGGCCGACCGCTGAGGCGTTGACCGACGCGATGGGACGGTGGAGCGCCACGAATGCGCAAATTATAGTTCCCAACTGCCAACTGCCCAACCAGCTTTGCCCTTCTTCGTTGTATTTAGACTTAATTTTGCCTGATGGCCTATAGTTAGCCTCCCGACCACCGAGATGATCTCCAGACCAATACAGATAGCCTCTAGATCAGAGACCACAGTCTCCGACCACTATCTGATAGCATCCAGACCACCGAGATAGCCTCCAGACCACTCCGTTGGTCTCACAGGATCACCGGCTCACGACAGTGAACCACTCCAGCCTTCTTGCCGACCACCGGCTCAGGCGAGTGGAGCACTTGTCGGTCTCGCCGAGCACGCGCTAGTGTTGCCGAGCACCCACTAGCCGTGCAGACCACGTACCGGCGTTGTCCGTACCCACACACTACGGATCGAGCTAGAAGAGGAAGGGAGAACAGAGCAAGCACGCACAATACAAGGCAACAGCCTTGGCCGAAGCCCTGTCTGTGTGATGGCAAATCTGAGCTCTCTTTACTGAGTTGTCATACATGTCTATTTATACAACTCTAACTATCTAGTCCATGTGCAGCGCCCATACTGGCACAGTAACTAGATAACTTGATAGGACTGACTCTGCGCCGGCCACTGCCTGTTTCTACAGTGCTGCAGGTGAGCCGTGCGGCGCCTGCACCTACAGCGGCTACTGTATCACAGCAGGGGGCAAAGTCGGCGCCGCCTTCCCTTGCTGTGTTCACACACAACAGGCAGCTAAGTCAGCGCCACCTTACTCTACTATATTCTCACAAGGTGACAGTAGATTAGCTAACAACTGCCACCCAGAATCAAGACCAACTAGAAAACAAAGCGCGGCGTCGCCGCGCGGCCGTGTGCGCTTGCCAGCATTGTGAAGCCAATCGCGTAGAAGGCTATACAAGATAGTGCAGCTGTGTTAATATTAAATGGTTTCCTTGCTGCAAAAGAAACAATGAAAAGTTAGAAATATTATAAGGATAATTATTTAGATTAGCTACAGAAACTGAATTGCATAGTACATGATCAACAGGGTGTTCAGTGTTCTGATTCGAGAATTTATATCAACCTACTAGTACATTAGTAGAGGTTCAAGTGCTAAAAGTTCAGGAATAGAAGTATCTTTATATTCATTAATTTTACAAGAGCATATTTGAAGATAAAACTGTTGTAGACGATTTTCTTAAATAACTACTGTTGCTATATTTATATTTGTTGTCTTTTAGGCTTCTTTCTTAGTTATTCAATGAGCTATTTAATAATAGTATATTTTGTTTGTATTTTGAGCAAGTAATTATCTTTGCAGTTCCCTGTATCATTCACTGCATAGGCATGGAAGAATCTCTGGAGCTAAATGTAAACTACAAAGTCTAAAAGGCACCACGCAAAGAAGAATCATCAGTTTCATTCATTTTTTTTAGACTAAGGAATAAAACAATTCCGGCTTCCCACATCCACACGTGAATCAGTTTCATTTGATTTTGCCTATCTTTCAAGAATATCTAGTAGGGTATCTCTGAAGGTGTAAAGTGTAGTGCAGTGGAATACATGTGCTGCCGTTAGCAGGGCAAAAGATTTGGTGTTAAAAATAGATAGAAAATATTAAAGTTCAGTAAGTTACTGTAATCAGTAACACGAATGGCAATGTCATTTGAACAAATTCAATCAGAAAATCATTGTATATAGAAATTTATCATGATATCCAATTAGAATCTCAATCAGGTTCCCTGCGTCAGTTAATTACCTGATAGCACTTCAATTCAATGTTTATGCTGATCCGTTCAACCATTCTCAGCACAGAAGGTTACTATTGCCACGACCATTCTTCTCCACCCTTGCTGAACACCATCGCAGAGGCAATTTGGGGTGAATATAGCTTTCTTGTGCCATAGTCATGGCCCCAACTCAGTCATCATGATGCTTATTACCGCTGCGGCAGCTGCATCTCATAGCTCAAGATTGGCATGAAATGTAAGTAGTACAACACTGCTCCGAAAGACAAGGCAATTTTAGTTAAGAATAATGATGAATGGTATATATTGAATGAATATACCAATCTTCATAATAAAGACAGTGCAGCACCAGGTGCCACCCATTAGCTTGTTCGCTTGTTGGTTTCAGCCAGAGCTTATCAGCTAGCCAACAGTATTTTTCTCTCACAATAAACCAGCACCAGCTGGGCTTATCAGCCCATAAATCAACCAGCGAACAGGCTCAATTAAGGGTGTAAATTGGAGGTTCAACCATCTGCCTTCCCTGGTTGTATAAGGTGGTGTGAAAATTCCAATGCAAACACTGTACTCCGAAATAATGATAATGCTTTGCATGCCCTCTCAAAAGTCAAAACTAAACCGCACAAGTATTGGGGCAACACTTTAAATTGAGAAAAACAATTGGAAATAAGTAAAAAGAAATTGTCTTCCAAGGAAAATAAGTAACAGGTACTGGGGCCACCCGAAGCGATTACGACGCTGAAGCCGTCAGTACCTCCAGCCGATAAGGATCCAAGTAGCATTCATGAACCCATCATCTACCAACTAATACAAATATTAAAAGTGAACAAGCATAGGGAAAACAGTGAAAAGGATGGGCACTGGGCAGCAATGCGCTACCAGTCCCCGGACGCCCATATGACCAGACCAAATGGATAGGGCACGCCCAGAATGACATGTCTCGCTCACATGATGGCTCATGAAAGACAGGACATATGCAGATATGCTACAAAAATGAAGGGAATTTATCAAAAAATTTCTTTTCCATGTCTCAGCTGTGCATGCCACTGTCAATAGGAAGGCTCCTAGCTTTCTGGACCATCCGGACTCCGGAGCGCCTTTTAATGGACACCTGCTATTGACAGGGACATGAATCTTCATCTTCTTCTACATTCAAAGGCCGGCCCCACAGTGTCCAAATAAGGATCCAAGTAGCATTCACGAACCCATCATCTACCAACTAATACAGATATTAAAAGTGAACAAGCATAGGGAAAACAGTGGAAGTCAAAGCATGGGAAGCAAAGTGCGACATTGTATTGCCAACAAGCAAAGACGATTCATTGTTTAGTCGCCAGCAAACAAAATGCGGCTTTTTAATAAACACAACATTTTATCGGACCAAAAAAGGTCCCTGTATACATGCACGTAGCATACTCTGCTCGTCATCTTTCCACGCATCCACACCATCAGACAAATACAGAGGCATATGGTCAAATGAGCAACATACAAGCTTTGTTTGAAGGAATCCATCGTCTGGAAACCAGGACACAAGCATTTTCAAACTTCCACGGACCGGAGTCAACCATTCAGGCCCATCTGCTTCCTCGTCTTGCCGATGAAAAGATCCCCGGATTTGATCTTGCCTGGCAAGCACCCGCTGAGCGTCAGCAAGGGAAGCTGAAGCAGCCCTTCCTTCCTTCCAAGAGAGACGAGTGCCAGCGGGTAACCGGTGCTGTAAGTTGCCAGTTTGCTGTTGGGCAAACCCTTGATCAGTAACTTCAGGTTCTTCACCACAAGCAGGGCGTGCTTGTGGGCGTTATACCCTTGTTTGACTTCCTGAACATTGATGGACATTAGTGCCAATGACTTCAGTATTTTTGTGATAACGTTGCTAGTACTAACATTAAAGATCGATGATGCTCTATGGGGGCCTTTTTTTTATTTGAACCAAGGATGCTCCATGGACAGTATAAAAAATTAAGAAACATGAATTGTAATGATCAGTAATCAGTATCCACTAGACAGACAAATCTTTATTCAGAGCATCATAATTAAGATAAGGAACACCTTTGATAGTTCGGTAGTGAGAACTTTCATATCATCCAACTGCCAAGAATTAGGTTACTGCAGATTAATCATTTAGATTATTATCTAACACCAACTGCCAAAATGCAGGAAGGGCATGGGTGTAAATGGAATAGCTAGGAGAAGATTTTCAAATATCAGTGGTCTCTGCTGAACAAAAGTCATGTTACTGTCAATGTGTCATGATTGTTACATGATGGTTTAGTATTACATCAGTGGGTGTGAAGGGGGCAAATGAAATGAATTACACAAGCCTATATATCTGTGTACTAAGATGTGCAATAATGGAGAATACTCACGCTTTGCAAAGTTTTGGTAGAATCTCATTTAGGTTAGTTAACAGTTACTATGAGCAAATTTTCAATTTGTTGTGCTGGGGAAACTGAAAGTAATCAGCCAACATAGATAAGCACTCATTAAGAGTTCAGTATGCACAAATTTGGGTAGTACTTCAGTTTAGGCCAAGTCATGGTGGTTGGGACAAGGTGAAAACCAACCTGAACAGAAGGAGAATCACAAGTTGGAAAACTTACAGGAATATCCGTGATGTCACCAATCGCGAAAATGTTATTATAACCTTTCACTCTTAAATCATTTTCCACCATTATTCTCCCCTTGCTATCCAAAGATTCCTTTAGGATGGTATCATGTAGCCACGACGAACTCAGTGGCTTTCCAATGCACACAAAGTGGCAATCAGCTGTTACTGTTTCTCCGCCTGATGTCTTGTACACCTTCTCCGTGTCTGATAATGAGCCCAAGTCAACCGATTGCTGGAGAAGCACGTCTACTTTCTTTGAAGTCAGCCAATCAAGGCACTTCTTTGAAGCCTTTTCTCCAATGAATTCGAGTAGACGCGGTCCTCTATGGATAAGGGTCACCTTCTTCCCTGGGTAGTCTACCGCAATCTCTGCAGCTAGTTCAACACCAGTTGGACCACCCCCAATTATCAGCATAGATTCTGATGACTCTATCTTCCCATTATCTGTAACAAGCATATACAAAGCAAAGCATAAGTGACAGGGAAGGCCACAAAAGCATGACTGTTTTCAGTATGTGGTTTTACTGCAGTTACCTCTCTGGAATTCTTTTAGCCTCTCAGCTCTGCTGGCAGGAGAAGTCAAAGCATGGCCAGTCGCTATGACGAGATAATCATATGGAAGAGACTGACCATCAGCAGTCAGGACAGTGTCTTCAGTGATATTGACCGCAGAAGATGTCACGATGGTTGCGTCGTTGAGGTAATCTTTGTGATAGATCAATGACCTCTCAGCAAAAGATGGTTCGACCATGTTGCGCAGCTCAGCCCAGGGGATCTCCAGGTACTCTTTCCTGTCATTAGAAAGGGGGCAGCATGTATGAAGGAATGTTCCAATTATGATTTAGTGTGAACCAGGTGATGTTACTTTACATTCAGCATCAGGTTATTAAGCTAAGCTATCACCAGCACAGAATAGATAGATAATTTTCAGAAATTCCGGAGTGCTTCTTAGCAGCTAGCAGCTAATCTCTATATAGGAATCCTGCTTCCAAAAGACAGGCAGCGGATCAGGCCACGTTGCCCATTAGCCCGCTGACCGTCCGATCCGGCAAACAAGCGATGTCGACCGTTCGATCGTGATCTTCGCGTGTCTCCTGCCCGTTAAGCCATGCAATCGGGACGTCACGAATGCTCCAGAACCCACTCGACTCGCCCCCTCCGCCTTGGACTACTGTGCCGCTCATACTTATGCGCCGCCATGCGGCCACCGCCTCCGTCGTCCCTTCTCCCGCCCGAGGCTCGACGACGCTGGGCTTGCCACGTCGCCGGGTCGTTCTGCTCTGCCACACGCCGCCCGAGGTCCGAGGAGGACGGCGGCGCCGGGAGCCGCGGACACGAACAGGCTGCATTATGGCGGAGCGAGTGTTGCAGCGGGATGGAGCACGGGCCGCGCGGATGGCCGGCGATGCAGGTACGCGGGGCTACGAACAGGCCGCAGCGTAGTGTAGTGAAGGCCACGCGGACAGGCAGCGTGGCAGCGCCCTGTCCACACACGGGCTTCAGTGCTTCACATGCCTCGCGTGCCTACCGTTTGACAGAATGTCGCACTCAGCCTGAGCTTACTCCAGACTCTAGACGACAGAAATGCTCAAGGCACTTTCCATGGAGAAAAGGTGGACACTGGCCCATGTGAAGATCCACATTGCGTAAAGACGGAGGTGCAGCGCCGGCTGACGAGCCCTAGCTTCTGACACCCATTCACTACTACTTCGACCACCTCCTGCGTGCCTGAGCAGTCAGTAAGGACATGTTCATATACGAAGGTAAATGTTTTTTTCCCTTTCTAAGTCCTACTTGACTGCACAGGACAATATCCATATAAAATTCCACATTTTTAGATAATGAAACAACTTAATTGCAAGCTTTGTGATGAAACAGCCGAAGTATAGTGACCAGGATCTTCTCAATTTGCTAAAATATGGTTTTTGCTTTAGTAGATCCTAATTTGACATCTAGAAAGTAATATTACACTTATACAAGTAGATTTTAGTTATAGAAAGTCCTGCAATGATCCTATTGGGAAAAAAATGAAATATGAACAGTACACTGGTAGGCATTTCCAACCACTGCACAGTTCTTCTTTTGTTCTGAAGTTTACTGCTCAGTTTCTTTATTAACTCTGTCCTTTCTCCAAATTCATGACCATTTTCATCAGCACATGTCAGATATGCAATGCAAAGATTAGGAAGTTTTTTCATATGATTGGGCTACTGTGTCGAACTTGTGATCCGGTGATCCAAATCCAACTGCCTTCCCACTAGAGCGGTTGTGCTGATTAGCAGCCAAATATAGAACTAATCTTAAACGATGGCTCACTCTCCTAAGCACCTATTTTTTACCTAAAAACTGTAAACATGGTCCAAGCTATTTTTTTATATATAGAAAAGTAAAATACAGCAAAAGAAAGAAAAATACAATAGAAGCATCAAGAAAAGCATGAAGAACTTTAGAACAGGACAAACTATTCATCCAAGAAGAAAGACTATTGCTAACAGAGGACTTAAATCTATGTAGGTGTAGCTTTGTAGCATGTACAAAACAAAATTTCCAGGTACTACTTATTTTCCATTGAATACAGAGCTCTTGAGAACAAACGTTAGCTAGCAGCAGCTAGCAATACAGAATATTCACAAACACCCTACACTTGTGCACTGTTCATAATTTTGTTGTTGCTGAGATCAGGTGAGAATCCATCTAATGATTTGTTCATGAGCCTGTTTTATACTTAGGTTGATTTAATGGCAATTTCTTGGTTTCTTATCTCTTACGCTGCACGTGCATGCGATGGATACACACCATGTACTCAATGGTTTGTCTCTGTGGAATGATCTGCTGACTAAACAAACTAAGTAACAAACCAAACAAACATGCATGTCAGCAGCTAATTATAGTTAGTTACAGTGACATTTAATTTGATCAAGTTATGTAGTAGACCCAAGATACTTTATGATATTTAAATTAATTGTAATGTGAATCAAATAATCTTAGTTCAAAATCCATGTCCACTTCCTCAAAGCGAACACTTCTCAGCGCACAGGATGCCTTCTCTTGGTGTTCATCAGGCTGCTCTTCTACGAATTCAGATGACAAACGTTTTTCCCTTTGTTCAGTTTTCATCACTCAAGATCAACATGTGATTACAAATACCTCCCATTTCAAATATATCGCGTTTGGGACAAGCTCGGTAGTTGATGCCTTTTGTGAAGGTTTGAAGCACTGCTCCTAGAAATGCAAGGTCAGTGTGTAATGCAGGAAATCCATGGTAATTATTTGACAGAATTGTTGCTTGCTTTATTAATCTTTTATGCTTCTGTGTCATGCAGGAGCAACAGAATTACTGAGCACAACAGTGGGTGCTAAAGAATATTACACTAATGATTTCCAATAGCCACTTTGAATATACTCAGATCAATATAAGCTTCCTCTGATACCATTTCCTTATACCTTGTTTGCTAAGTTCCCAAAATGTAAACCATGTTGGCATTTGCTAAATTCAAGAAGTTGCACGGGTAATTCATTGCTGCAACTTATCGTTTATATTTTATTATGCACAAATAGACGAGAAACAAGAACAAAGCTCATCACATTTTTATGAACTATGACCGTGCACTCTATAAGGAAGCTGTAGGCTCTCAGTTCAGCTGGACACTTATAATCTGTTATAGATTCATTTTCTTTTCAGTGGACCACATGTGTCATTACAAAATATATATTCAAGAGTTGGGTAGGCTCTATGTTCTTTTTCACTTGTGGCTTGGCAATTGGCATCGGTTCCTAGATATGTACTGATTTGGATCAAGAGTTTTATAGATGTAAATACTCAAATATAGATAGGAAGTTGTAGGCTCTCAATTCAGCTGAACACTAAATCTATTTAGTTTGTGTTGTCACCTCAGCTGTGCCGTCAATTTATTCTTCACTATAAGTCGTGACAATAAATCATACTCAATTTCAGATCAATTGCATTTTAATTACTACGACTCTACAAGTACAATAAATCATACTAAAGCTCATGGATTCACGTCTTCATCAAACTTGTATTGCTCCTTCATTTTTGTGAATAACTATTATCGCTGATTTATCTTTGTCGTGGAATATATTCCTATCACATTAGACGAGAAGATGTCCAACACCTAGAGCTTCCTATTGAGGTTCAGTACTCTATTGTTTAACCATAGGCCCATAAAATCTCATGGGTTATCAAAGACGGCGCGGCAACACCGCACCCAGGTTTTCTGGTTATAATTTAGAAGTTGAAGTTCAAGATCATCCCCATTTCTATCCCCCGGATTCAGTAGATCCGGCCAGATCTCTAGGGCCGCAAGGATTCGGTATCGGCAGGGGACCGGGCTACCGAATCACGGGCCCCCCGAATGACACACCTGGGCCTTGGAAGCACGCACAGGCACGGCAGCCAGTCCAAGAAAGCAAGCAAGTAAGCAGCCGGTCGGCTGGGCATTTCTTCGAACGGGTGGCCGGCGCAGGAGCGGAGCGGGCGAGGAAAGGAAGAGGTGCTTACGGGTCGACGAGGACGACGTCGGCGTGGCCCTGCATGGTCTTGGCGAACAGGGAGCCGGCGGGGCCGCCGCCAACCACCACCACCCTCGCCTTCTCCCCCGCCGCCGCCATCGCCGGAGCCGGACGCTCAACCCCTCGCGCGCGCTCCACCCAGCTGACAAACTCCCCCACCCGCCCAGCTCACGCGGCGTTATTAACGAAGCAGCTCGCGAGCGCAAAAGTGGCGGCTTTGGAAGAATGGGGTGCCGACCGCTGGTGACTCGACTCGAGTACTTGACTGAGGCGATGGGGCGGTGGAGCGCCATGGCGCCAACCTTTATCACCTTCCGTTTGATGTGAACGCATCTCCTCGTTCTCCTACACGACTACACGCAAGGAACTGCGATATTATAAATTAATTATTAAAATAAATAAACTACAAATTAACTAAACGAAAAAAATAACGAATGTAATCGTTGAGATTCGATTTGATCCCTCTCACCTTTTATTATTATTTTTTATCTCAGATACCCCAGTATCTTTTACATTTTCTTTTTTGTTTTTTTATGTAAAAAAATAGAAGAAATCAACCGTGCATGATCATGGTCAAAGATAGCCTAGCCAGCGGGTAACCGAAACAATCGCTGCTAAGACTATGTGCAACGATATCACCCAAAATACAATACCTATTTTACGTGGGGCACCGGGCCTCTCTTAAACCGGGCCGTTGGGAGTTCCAGGACTCGTCCTCGCCTCCCTGCACGCCTGGCCTGGGCTGGCCGCCTCCGTCCACCGTCCTGCACCGCGAGGCCGTCTGCGAGGGCTTCAGATGGCCCTCTGCGCCGTCCCTTCCGCCTAGTGCCCTGCAACATTGCAGATCCAGCCCTCTGATCGTCATCTTCTTCACCTCTCCAACATGAAGGTCAACACGAAGGTCAAGCTGGAGGTATATGTAGTTGTTGCATTGCATTCGCCATTCATCATGATTCGTAAGGATGTTAAAAAAATATTTTTATTAATTTTTGTCTATATATATATATATATGTTTGTTTATGTTATTATAAATTTGATTCATAAGGGCCACGAGGGCACCATCGTCATCAGAATTAAAAAGATGCATAGAAGAATTCTCCTTTATCTTTAATATTGTTATTATGTATAATATAAATTAGGTATATACAATATAAGCATATAGATATAGATATAAATATACATATAGATATAAATGTATATAGATATTGATCGAGATCGAGATCGATATCGATATCACGAAGGAAAATAGTATCTTGGAGATTAAGTCAAAAGTTATGAGATGCAGTTTTGATTTGGTTTGGGTGCTGGACACATCGACCGTGCTGTCACATATCACTTTGGTTATTACAGCCGTATATAATGAATCTCCAACGACAGCACGGATCTCTTATACCATTATTATACAATTTGTTTGCAGACCCCAAAGCAGGCCATGGCGCCGTCGCGGTCCCTGCCGCGGAGCGCGAGCAAGCTCGCGGACCCGCCGTCGCCGTTCAGCTCCAACCCGGCGCACCACCCGGTGTCCGTGCCCAACACGCCCGGGCTGTCGTCGTGCTCGTCGTTCGGCCGCATGCTGTCCCCGCCCACCGACACACCCACCAAGCAGCAGCAGCAGCAGGGCGGCAACAAGCCCAAGCCGACGCCGGCGGCGGCCGCCGCCGCGTACTACGCGTCGCTGTGGTCGCCCAGGCGCCTCATGCAGCGCGCTGCCCGCGCGTTCCGACGCAGCAGGTCGCGCGGCCGCGTCAGGACGGTCAAGGACCTCGCCGACGAACGAGCCTCGGTGCTCGCCGCCAGCAACAAGGTCTCGGACGCCGCGGCGCTGCCGCCTGCAGGTGCCGAGGTCGCCAGCGCCAACGGTGCCCGCGGCGGCGTGCAGGATGGACCGCAGCAGCAGCAGCGCCACGACGACTACCACCATGAGATCGTCCCCGAGAAGATCATACGCGAGGACGCGCCGCCGGCGCCGGTCGTTGCTGAAGAGAAGGAGACCGCCTCCACGGATGAGGGGGTTGAGTCGCCCAAGAAAGGAGCGACGCCGGTGCCCGAGACCATCGTCGCCGCAGCCGCAGTGGAGGACGACGTGGTGGCGGACAAGTTCGTGACGGTGGTGAAGGAGGCGATCAAGAAGCACGAGGCGGAGCAGGACGAGAAGAAGGAGGCGATGCGGAGGTTCCAGGGCAGCCGGGTGAAGACGGCGATGGAGGCGCGGCCGGAGTCGGAGCAGCCGCGGCGCCGGGAGGTGGCGCGGAGCAACGACGTCATCGAGGAGGCGCGCACCAAGCTGCTTGAGAAGCGGCAGTGCAGCAGGGTCAAGGCGCTCGTCGGCGCCTTCGAGACCGTCATGGACACCAAGAAGGACGCCGCCGTCGCCGCCGGCAAGCCGCAGCACCAGTACCGCAAGTCGGCCTAAAACCATAAAGCCACAGCGACGGCGACGACCGCATCGATCCTCCAGGCTTCGTGTCTTCGCCTTAATTAATTACTACTATATAATCCTGGCCAGCCCGTCGCCGCATACATGCATGTTACGGCGCTAATTAATCCCTATTTACTACTAATTAACTCCGGTTAATTCGTGGCACACCATGTATAACGTCATGGAGTTCTCCATCTACACAGAGGAGTAATATTTTGTGAGGAGGAAAATGGGGGAGACCGATGTTGCATTCTGCAGAAATTCTTCTTATAATTATATAATTCATCGGTTTTATTCTTCGCTAGAATTGCAGCATGTTCGTTTGGCTGTGGCTTGTCGTAAATGATTGTAAATTTCCAGTCGAAACAGTATTTTTCTTTCACACGAACCAGCTAGCAGTACTTCTTTACGAACCGGCAACGAAACGAACCAGCCAACCGAACATGGCTACTCGGTTGCAGCGGGTACATCCTTTCACAGATCCGATCTTTTCTTGCTTTAAAGCTACTGAAAAAAAAACCCAACAAAGTAAGTATATTGTTACTGGCTATCTTCTCATGTTAGACATAGAATTGGTCACCACTTCCCGTAGCTGTAACATTGAGTGGATTGTTAGAGGAGCTTTCTATGGCTATATGAGAGTAACATTTTGTACATCAAACTGACTTTGAGGTCCTCTTCTTTTCTTTTTTTACAAGTGTATTTTCTCTGCCTCAAAATAGAAGTCATTCTCACTTCCCGATAAGTCAGTTTTTTTTAGCTTTGATCAATTATATATAAAAGAATATTAATATTTATAATACATAACTATTATCATTAGATAGATCGTTGAATATACTTTCATAATAAACTTATTAGGAGATATAAATATTGCACATATTTTCTATAAATTTAGTTAAAGTTGAGAAAGTTTGACCTGCACGCATCACATAACGACTTCTGTTGTGGGACGGAGGGAGTATAGCGCAATATGGTATTTCTATTGTATTCATTTGATCTAGTGCCTGATTCAGCTGATTGCATGATTGTTTATTCAGAAATTCAGAAGTTGAGTTATAGTTAAAACAGTCAGTATATGGTTTCGGAACATCATGAATGTTCTTCAGTCTTTCATTACGGTGGAGGGCATTTTTACCGTCGTGTTCAGCAGCACTACTTCAGCAGTAGCTACTACGAACGAACAATATTTTCCTCTCATAACATTTTAGCATAAGCAGCGACATAAACCAAGTTTCGCAAATAGGGCCGTACAATAGTAGACTGTAGAGGAAGTCTTATCTGAACCTGTCAAGGTATTAAGAATGTCACCGCTACAAACTATTTTCTGGGCATGGTGTTTCTGTTACCGACTACTCCTAGATAATTATGGTAGCCGGAATTATACAAATTACATTGTTCTTTCATTCTGTATATACTAATGTGAATTTGTGGGATCTTATTTCAGTCCGGCCTTTTGGCCCTTTCTTCTTTACCTTTCTGCTTGCTGGTAGCGTTGCCCATGGACGGCATGGTAGGCCTGTTCCTCATCACTGTGTGCTATTGGGTTGTGGACTGATGAACAGGAAGGCGCCGCCTACGCGCATGACCTGGGGAGGCCAGGTTCATGTAAACTCAGCTGTGCCCAGCTTCGACTGGAAGCCGATATAACAGAGCTCAGAGCTGTGCACTACTCCTACTACTTGGTTAGACTGTAATAGATGAGATGATGGTTGCCTCCCAAAACAGGGGACTTTGGTGTTCGCACTGTCAGGCCACTATTTGTGGTCAATGGCTCCCTTTCTCTTGGAACTTTGGAACGCTTGTCTGTGTAGGTTTGCAGTCCAAACACCCTACGGCCGGCCTGACGGAGACACGCTGATGCTGCAAGCAGGACTGACATGTTGTGATCGATGACCTCTGATGTGCTCCATCGTCTGATGGGTACTGTGCATGTCATGCTGACGCAGTGTATGCATGCTGCTAGTACTGTACCATCATAGTACTACATATATACTACATGCAGTGTACTGCATGGACTACCGGACCCTGGGTTCATTCATTAAATCATGAATCAGTGTAACCCCCTGCGGTGTCAAACAAACTAGAGCACTGATGAGCGAGGCAACATGGGCATGGAACACCCAATGGCATGCAGCACCTTGGAATTCTGTTCCGCTGATCACTCCTTGTTGGACGCTGATGGTATATATGCATCTGAAATTCTGAATTCTGTGGCTGCAGTTGTTGTGTTTTGCTGAAATTTGGATCCGGTTGATGTTTATGCTGATTTGTTGCGAGAGAAAAATATGGTTGAAAAGTAGTTTAAGTAAACAGTGGTATACATACGTAGGTGCTGTGCTGCCTAGTACAGTACTGGTTATACGTGCAGTATAGTACTTCCTATATTTAAGGGGGCTGCTATTTCTCAGGTGTCTGAAATTTAAGTTTTTTTCAGGCAATGAACAGTATCCATTAGATCTTAATCGAACCATCCAGGAAACCAGCACTATACATGTTCTTTCTCTTCCTCTCTTATCTCTCTTGGTCCTTGATTTCAGGCATCTGGATTATAGGAAACGTGTATATTTAAAGGAAACGAGATTTGGTAGAATAACAGTACTCGGTTTGCATAGAGGACCGTGGTACGCTGGGGAAGCGTTCAATCAAAAGATTTCAGAGCATGTGTAGACTAGTGATCCTATACAGATAGGAGCACTACAGTACATGCCATCTCTCTCAATTCTCAAACAGCACGCAGCAGTGAATCAATCGATGTAGTAGTAGTACTTGGAGACAGTTCCCCCAGGCTTTGCGTCTTGGCCACACTGACCGACCCGTCACCCTCCGGAGTTCATCGCAACCGGACAAGGGCTACGCAACGAACTGATGCATGAACAGATGATGATGAGAGAGACGAATTCAGAAGGGCAGGACGACGCATGCGAGGCCGTCAGTTTCCTTGCCCATCATTGGATGCCAAACTGCCACAGGCGTCCTTGTACCTAGTATGCTAGTATGTTTAATTTTGGTGTTCCATTCAATTCAGATCAACTGATTTTTTTTTGGGCGGGGGTGTTATACCGGTGTCTTATAGGATTTATCGTGCTTCTGTGGCTTATAAGTTAAGTGTTTTGTTGTGAGAGAAAAACATTATATTATGATAAGTATGGCTGATATAATCAAGCGAACAGAGTGATTATTAGTAAAGACTAAAGACACACCAGTTCAACACAGCATTCAGGTGCGACAAACCTGTCCAGAAAGTATCAAGCGAAAACAGGAAACAAACGAAAACAGATAGCACCCAACCCTCCATTCCAGCGGAAGCGCCCGGATCAACTGAATTTTCAAGGAGTTGAGTCTGAAACAACTGAATTTCTCTTATTACTTTCTAAGGGCAGCTAATCTGGAGACGTATGATGGTAATGTTAACTCTCACTATACAGTAATCCTAATGCTCTCCAAACAGATGTGCCAAAGCCCAAAGTGGGTCAACTACACAATCCAGTTCAGAACTTTCGGATTGAGAGGATCATTGAGCAGCAAATCTCTGTCAATCTGTTGTTGTCATGTGGAATGGCACATTGGCGTGGCCGCCAGGGTGACGGTTATAGCTCTCTGCGGCTAGTACGGCCTGGACCGGACATGCACAGCCCAAGCAAGCAAAGCAAGCATGCATGCTCTAGTAGAATAGCTCGCCTCTAGTAGCGAAGGGAAGCATAACTAAGCAGGTAAGACGTGCCAATTGACAAGCCGGTGATAGCAGCAACAGTGGTCACAACGTGACGGAACCGAGAGAGAGCCCATAGCCCTGTCCCCTTTAGCCAGTAGGGGTCTTCTAAGAAACAACCCATTGCTATTGGTAATGTAGAGCACCACCTATTTTCTTCCTGTTATTAAAGGAAAAAACGACTGATGATGAGCATATTGTATTCTAACAAGAGCCTTATTATGATTAATGTATCAGTACCAGACTGTGACCAAACACAAAATTACTACAATCATAGTTGTGCAGGGTATGAGCATGGGCACAAGCATGGAGCATGGATGGCTATCCTATCACCTACTCCTACATGATGACTGATGAGCAAAGGAAGGAATGGCATGCAGAGAACACCAGTGAACTGAAATGCCCTTGCCATCTCAATCTCAAACACATGGCCCAAATGGTGCACTACAGCCTTTCTTCATCAAGGCCTCTGCTCTCCTCCTCCTCCTCCTCCTCCTCCTCCTTCCTAGTCCTCTCAATGTTCTCTGCAGCAACAGAGGGATTCATGGCTCATCAATGTGGTTTGGTGGCAGAGGAATGGGGGGGCTCTACTGCAGCCTTTTTTTTTTTCATCAGTGTGTGTCCTAGGACTAGCAGATACTCCTCCTTTGACCCTCCCCTGTCCTCTGCTGCTTCCTTTTTATCAATGCCTCGGACACCACACACCAGATACAGAGTTCAGTATTCCGAAAAATGCGGCGCGCCATAAATGAATTCTACATGATTTTGAAATGCCCTTGTTTAGTTCGCGAAATTTGAATTTTGGGTTACTGTAGCATCTTCGTTTTTATTTGGCAAATAGTGTTCAAACATGGACTAATTAGGCTCAAAACGTTCGTCTCGTAATTTCCCACCAAACTGTGCAATTAGTTTTTCTTTTCGTCTACATTTAATGCTCCATGCACGGGCCGCAAACATTCGATGTGACAGGTACTGTAGCAACTTTTTGAAAATTGAAGTGGAACTAAACAAGGGCTGAATTATGCAGGATTTTGAAATGAACCTCCCTGTGTATTCTAACAATGTTGTGAGCTTTCTTGGTGTTCTTTTACATGGCCATCAGACTCATCACACTCTCAACCAGATACTGTTTCAGTGAACCTTTTAGGGACTGTTTGGATTGAAGGAATTTCAAAGGATTGTATTCCTATGGAAAGTTTTTGAAGATGGCTGTTTGGATTGAAGGAAAGATACATCCCTTTCCAAAGGAAAGGATTCCTATGCTGTTCAAAACGCAGGGAAAAAAACATCCAGTCGAACTTAAGGGAAAATTTCCTACGGTGCTTGCACTCACGCTGTATTATGGATTCCTGCGTTTTTCCTGTGTTATGGATTCCTACGTTCCAAACACCCCTTCTAGTTATTTCCCGCGTTTTTCCTTTCCTCTATTTTACCACTACACACTCATCCAATTCCTGTGTTTTTTCCTATTCCCGTGTTTTTTATTCCTGTGTTCCAAACAAGCCCTTAACTTTTATAAGGGATGCATTAATTCTGAATTCTAGAACTATATGCAGCTTCACCATGACAATTCACAGAGAAAAATCAGAAAGTTATTGTTTTTGCATAAGGAACCAGCAAGTTAAAGCAGCATAGATATTATTATATATATAAACTAGCTGCAAGCTGCAGGCTGAGCATTGCACACAGCTGAACTCTCACTCCCAGTCCCGGTATCTTCAGCTCCTCACTTCACTCACGCTTCTCCAGTTCTCCTGCTTCGACGCCACACCTGGCAGCACTCAGCAGCAGCAGCCGCTACTCTGCAATGCAGTCTGCAGCACCGTGACAACGCTGCGCTAGTCTCTCCCTCGCCTCCGCCCACATAGCCTACACGTACACGTTCACCTCCACTCTGCTCGGCTCGCGCCCGCCAGGCCGCCATGAGGAGGCGACGGTGGCCGCCCCTCGCCGCCGCGTGCCTCATCGCGCTCGTCGTGCTCCTGGCCGCCGTCCACGGCGGCGGCGCCAGCGCGTCAATGCCCGCGGACCGCCGCTCGGGGGCGAGCATTCGCAGCCGCGCGCGTGTCGCCGCCTTCGACACCACCATCGCGCGGTGCAAGAAGCAGGGGAAGAGTGCTGGCCCGGCCTGCGCGAGGCTGCCCGGCGGCGGCGGCGACGACGACGACAAGCGGGTCGTGCCGACCGGCTCCAACCCCTTGCACAACCGATGACAAGATCGTCCGTGCTTTTGCATTTTGCAGCCAAGGACATGGGGATCTCGGTCGCTCTTGCTCTGTATGCGCCCTGCGTCATTCCATGGCGCGGATTGGTTGGCGGCGCGAGAAGAAATGGAGCAGAGGAGAACTTCATGGCCATTGATCTAGGGAGGAGTAGGACTGTAGTAGTAATGTAGTATATAATCAGTTACTATTTTTACTGATGTCCGACGTAGTAACTAGTTCTTGTTCCATGGTCCCTGGTATCGGCGTTCGTCAGAGATTAGTTCCTCTGAACCGACGAATTTGTAAGCCACGGTTTGGAACGCCGGAATTTCGTGGGATTTCTAAGGAAATTGCACGTTTCTCCTATGAAATTCTTGCGTTCCAAACAAGGCCTCAAGATTGGGAAAAGACAGTTTCCTTTTGTCTCCTCTGAATCATGTGGCATGCATCATCATTGTATAGAACGAAGTTCGCTTTTTAAATCCAGTTAGCATTTTGACCCCGTTCTGTTCATCCTGTGTCCTGTCCGATCCTCCCCTTTCAGGTTTTAAGCAATGGGATTCATTTCTGCATAAAAGAAATGCAAAAGACATAACTTCAGTTGGCTTGTTCGTTAACAGTGTGTTTGGATTGGGTCATCGGATGATCCTAGAAGCATCCGAACCTAAAACCGAGCCTCCAAGTTCGTTTGAATTGCCACGCGGAATGGTCACGTCGGTCACCAGCCGATGCTCCGTAACTAATTTCGCAAGTCAAGAGCAGGAACCTACTCGTCCGGCACAAAAACGGCGAACGACAACGTCTGGAATGGAATGGACCCAGACCGGCTGAACCTCTAATCCAAACACGCTATAAGTTCTTTTCCATCATCATTTTGTTCCGGACGATTCATAACACCCAGATGGCCAGGTTACAGCTGCAGGAACAAAAGGAGAGAACGATGTGGCGCCCTGCACTTGTCCAAGAGCCAACTTCACAAACACACTTTACATTAGGTAGGGTAGGACGTAAGACAATCCATGTATACGGAAGGCCTGGTACCAAGTTCGCCTCTTGAAGTGAAAAATTGCCTGCCTCTTGGGTTAGGATGCTCAACTGGCTCGCTCCTCGTGAGCTCAACTCTAACTTGTTGCATGACACTTCCTCTCTCAATCCTTGTCTTACTGTCAAGTAGATCTCGGCACATTTCACTTGAGATTATTACTTGACTACATCTTTATTGGCGTGAGCACATAGTGAGCCATTTTCTCCTCAGCATCAAACCTACCACGTATCATAACCCCAAAACCTTCCTTAGGAAAATCCAAAATCAATCTAACTCGACGGACCATTTATAGGATGTTGGTCTAGCTCTTAAAATCCCGGTGCCTGTTTAGTTTCTAAAATTTTGCAAAATTTTTCAAGATTCCCCGTTACATCGAATCTTTGGACGCATGCATGAAGCATTAAATATAAATAAAAAATAAAACTAATTATACAGTTTAGACGAAATTCACGAGACGAATCTTTTAAGCCTAATTAGACTATGATTGGACATTAATTGCCAAATAACAACGAAAGTGCTACAGTACTATTTTCCAAAAAAAATCGTCAACTAAACAAGGCCCCGACCAAATACTTGGAACCTAAGAGGATTGTGAACATTAATAATGCTACAAATTTTTTTTTAGGAAAATAGGAGGGTGCATGCCCCTACTGCGCTTTTATTATAATAGAACAAGTGTTTACAACAAAGATTATGATACATAGAAATTTACAAAGAAGATTAAAGCTATTACACATATGCTTATGTTAGATAATCTTCTTCGTCCCTTGTGTGAATGCGCAGCAGGGAAGGCGGAATCGAAAAGGACTCTCTACTGTGTGCACTGTAGCAGCTGCAGGGGTAGGCGCCGAACGACTCACCTACCACATTGTAGCCATAGCAGGGACAGGCACCAAAGTCAGCCCTGCTGTCACATCTAGTAACTGTAGCAGCATGACAACTGTACTAGAACTAGATGGATATAGTTGTATATATAGTTTGCCACTGCAACTTAGTAGAGAGAGTTCAAATTTGCCATCTCCTATAAAGAGCTTCGACTAACGCTGGTGTCTCTGTTGTGTGTGTGCTCTGTTCTCCCTCCCTTGTTCTACCTCTAGCCATAGTGTGTGGTCGGCATCGCTAGTGTGTGCTCGGCAACACTGAGCGAGTGGTCGGATATCTCCGTACCGGAGATCGAGGGACCAACAGGTGGTATCAAAGCCGTACAAGCGTCGTCGCTGGACTAACCGCTGGCGATGATAGACGGTTCGAAGATGGGCGACAGCAGTGGCACTGCTATGGCTGCCCAACCACGATAGGAGGTCGTTGTTCGCACGGTGCGGGAGGTCAGCGGCACCAGTTGGCCGACGCTGACTCACACCAACTATGGAGAGTGGTCGATGATCATGAAGGTCAAGCTCAGAGCCCGACGTCTCTGGAATGCTATTGACAAGGGCACCGAAAATGAAGAAGATGGCATGTCAACGTTGGAGGCTATCCTCGCTGCTGTACCGACGGAGTACAGGGAGCCGTTGGGGGCGAAAAGCTCTGCTAAGGATGCGTGGGAGGCTATTGCGGCGATGCGCGTCGGTTCCGACCGCGCAAAGAGGGCGACGACCCAGCTTCTAAAGTAGGAGTATGCCAACCTCAAGTTTAAGGATGGTGAATCGGTGAAGGACTTCTCCCTCCGCCTGCAGACGCTCATCAACAAGCTGAAGAGCCACGGCGTCACCATCGACGAAGAGGAGGCGATTTTCAAGTACCTCCACTCCGTGACGGCAAAGTACATCTAGATCGCTCTCTTCATAGAGACGATGCTGGATTTGTCCACCCTCACCATTGAGGATGTGATAGGCCGTCTGCGGGCGGTGGACGAGCGCCTAGAGCAGGCAACAACAACGAAGGACAGTGGAACTACTGCTGACAGAGGAGGAGTGGGCTGCTTGGAGGAACTCCGGGGTAGACTCCTATAGTCGCGGTGGCGATGGCAAGCGCCGCGGCAAGGCTTCTTCGGAGAAGAAGAAGCAGGTCGACCCCAACGCCTGACGTCACTGTGGGAAGACGGGCCATTAGGCACGGGAGTGCCCAAATCGCAAGCAGGAGAAGAAAACTGAGGCTCATCTGGCGCAAGCAGATGATGATGATGAGGCCACTATCCTGATGGCGATGTTCTGTGCACTGCACGACATTGAGGCCGAGGAGAAGGGAGAGGTGACGACGGTGGAAGGACCTGAGAAGGCCCTGAAAGCTGTCAACCTCGATGAACCGCGCGCCCAAGTTCACCTCGGACGTGTGGGCGGCAAGCAGGAGCAGCGATGGTATCTGGACTCTGGTGCCAGCAACCACATGACGGGCTCTAAGGCTGCCTTCTCCGAGCTCGACGATGATGTTACCGGTACGGTGAAGTTTGGTGACGGCTCAAGGGTGGCAATCCAAGGGCGCGACACCAACATCTTCAGGTGCTAGAATGGCGAGCACCGCACGCTAACGGATGTATATTACATTCTGCAGTTGCATTCAAGCATCATCAGCATTGGCCTACTGGATGAGCGCGGTAGCGAGGTACTGATCAAGGACGGAGTCCTCAGGATCAGGGTCCAAGAACAATGACTTCTTGCCAAGGTGAAGAGGTCCCAGAACCAGTTGTACCTGCTCGACCTGAAGGTAGAGCAATCGGTGTGCCTGGTGGCAAGGCTCACTGAGGAACCATGGCTGTGGCATGCCCGGTTCGGACATCTCAGCTTTGACGCGCTTGGTTGGCTAGAGAAGATGGTCCGAGGGCTACCCCACATCGAGCACAGAGGCAAGCTATGTGATAGCTACCTGGCCGGCAAGCAGAGGAGGCTGTCGTTCCCAAAGGCGGCCAAGTATCGCACGATGGATGCTCTCGAGCTCGTCCACGGTGACCGCTGCGGACCAATCATGCCAGCCACAAACGGTGGTCGACGGTACTTCCTTCTGCTCGTGGATGATTGCAGTTGCTACATGTGGCTGCAACTCCTAACGAGCAAGGATGAAGCGGTGGAGATGGTCAAGAAGTTTAAGATGCACGCGGAGGCCGAGAGCGGCAAGAAGCTCTGCGTGCTGAGGACTGATCGCGACGGTGAATTCACTTCGGTGGAGTTTGCTGCGTACTGCACGGATCAGGGCGTGGTACGACACCACACCACGTCGTACTCACCATAGCAGAATGGCGTGGTGGAGCGATGGAACCAGACGATGGTCGGCATGGCTTGATCTATGATGAAGGCCAAAGGCATGCCGGCAAGGTTCTGGGGTGAGGCGGTGACCACGACGGTGTTCATCCTCAACCGCGCTCCCACCAAGGCCCTGAAGGGCAAGACGCCATTTGAGACTTGGCGTGGACGCAAGCTGAGCGTGTCCTTCCTCCAGACATTCGGCTGCATCGGCCACGTTAGGAAGACGAAGCCGGTCCTGACCAAGCTGGAGGATAGGAGCACACCGATGGTGTTCCTAGGCTACGCGAAGGGTACCAAGGCGTACCGGCTCAATGACCCACACGGAGACAAGGTTCTTGTCTCGCACGACGTCGTGTTCGACGAGAAGGCAACCTAGGACTGGAATAGTCTGAGCACGAGGGAAGTTGGCGGCTTCACCAGCACCTTCATCGTCGAGCACTTGGTCATCCACTGTGGTGGAGACGCTGGGGAAGAGGTGTCGAGCACTCTGGGAGGGGTGCCGAGCACTCTAGGAGTGGAGCCGAGAGGTCCTGTAGTGGTCGTGACCACTCCAGGACAGGTGCCGAACACTCCCGTAGCAGAGCCAAGGGGTCTTGCAGTGGTGCCGACCACTGCAAGACGGATGCCGAGCACTCCGGGAGGGGTGCAGACCACTCCAGGAGTGGTGACGAGCGGTCTAGGAATAGTGCCGAGCACTGCAACCGGGGTGCCGAGCACTCCAGGTACTATGCCGAGCACTCTGGCGGAACAAGGAACTCCATCGACTCCGATCGAGTTCGCCTCAC